AAATACTATCTTCAGGAACAAATGTATTTAGATCTTTCCCCATCTTCACTCTCCACTAGGACTGCATTAAGAGTTCTACTTCAGGGAGCCTGGAAACTACTAAGTGAACTCAATTAAAGAGTCTCAGTACCTGTACCTGCCTGCCAGACGTGTTTTGTGCATGACTGAACACATGCAGAGAGGTCAGCAGTGATAAGAAGACACTAAACCAAGTCCACCTCTTTTCCCCCAAGCAACGCAAGCAGATAGCCCCTAGCCCCCGCGTAACCCCAGTCCCAGTACTGGGGCTGGCCCTTTTATAACTGGTGCATAAGAAATTGTTTAACTCCCCACAGCAGACCCAGCCCTGTCTCTGCAGAAACCCTTCAACTCCAGGCAAGGCTCTGTGGTTTCTCCTATTGTTTTCAGTTTGTTTTTCTTTCCAGCAGAAACATAAAGCTGCAGTGTTAGATTTGCAAATACAGATGACAAACACAGAGCATCAGACCAGCATGCTGCTTTTCACCTTGGACATGTTAAATGTTTTAGCTGGATGCCTAAAGAAACAGGGTTTATGTACTAGAGTTATATGGATTTCTTCTCCATTCCGTTCTATCCCAAACAGCTTTAATCACTGACTAATTTCAAGCAAATCTATTACAGACATGAAAGATAAGTTTCTAACAGATTTCATGAAACAGGGAATTAATAGCGGAGACAGCTCCCAAATGCTAACAGAAGCCTCCCCAACCCCCATGGCAGCAGAAAACACATTAAAGGGAGGAAAAGAGAGGGAGAGATGTTGAAAAGTAGCTTTCATTAAACCCTCTGCACACAAAACTACTTGTTTATTACTACAAGAAGTTTTACATCCATCTCTCTGCTTCCAAGATCCAGGAGCTGAGTCCTAGAAACACATGGGGATTTAGCTTTATGTGCTCTGGGCTATAAAGTTAAACACACACGTAGCAGATCTGGGTCTGAAATGTGGTTATCACGCTGTATCCTCTCAGAAACAGAACCCAAAGTAACATTTCAGCCCAGTTAGTTTCCACAGCATCCAAACATCATTATCTGTGGCCCAGTGTTACTATTCTTATGATGAAAGATATGAATTAGTCTCCTGCAGAACCTCAAACAGGAGGATTCTCTGCTTGCAGTCTGTTGCCACACTGATGTGGTACAATCCTCCTCCTGTTCCAGAGCAGCACATCCACACACAGACAGAGAAACTTGTCCCTATTGCAGCCGTAAGCACTGATTTGCAGAACAGCAGCAGGCACATGGGTTCATGTGCCTAAGCTTTATATTATATAAATCTAATATAACAGTGTGTCAAATGTTTGCTTTGGCGATCCTGATTCCTTAAATCCCCCTTTTATACTAATATTTAAAATGGGAAAAGGCTTTAAAAGAATGGGCGCAAATTACTGGTTCAAAGGGTTTATTGGGCTTCCAGCTGAGCATTGCTTATGCTAAGAATGGGGATTTGAAAAAAACCCACTGTTTAGGCTGGTTTATTGGGGTTTATTTCCTCTAGGACACTGCTACTGCAATCCTGGAATAGCAGCAGGAGGGACAGGGGGCAAGGAATTATCTTTCCCTCCTGTAAATCCCAGCAACTGTGATGCTTACATATCATAAAGACTGACCTCTAAACTATCGCAGTTATGAAAGCTAAGGAAAACTAAGCTCAGCAGAAATGGGGACTTCCCAACAGTAACAGCCACCAGTAAAAATACCCCTTTTTATTATTATTTTTATAAAATATCTAGGAAATTCTGGGCAAACCTTTGTTGAAACCTCACAGTTTTATTGCATTCCACCCAGCTCAGTTCTTACGCACAGGAGACGGGGGGTACATCTGTGCACATGGATGGCTGAAGAGGCAGAATTACCCTGTCTGGATTTGAAGGCATTAACACAAGGGCAGCTTATGGTGTTACTGTGACAATTTCCCTGAATTATCCTAATCACATTAAAGGGTTTATCTGCTCAGCCTCTGCAGGTTAAGAGAAAGGACCCCCAGGCAGCAAATTAGTGGGAATGGCCAGGGCAGGTCATCTCACTGTGGGCCTGAGTGTCCTTAACACAAGTCTTATCTTTCTTCTACTCCACTCATCCTTCCAGTCCACTTTTCTCTTGACTGCCATGTTTAAAGGGCAAAACAGAGCCAAGCTCTCCTGCAGGAATACGCAGAGAAGAGCTACTGATCTGTGGGGTGAGGGAATAAAAAGCCTCATTATCTCACCTAGTATAAGCTTTGCTGTGCTTTGGATACAGGCACTATTAAGTACATCAAATAGCTTTTCATCTGGATGCTAAGCCTGGAAGCACCAAAAGGAACTGCACTGCTGTAATCACCCACATCCTTATGTGCCAAGAAACTTTCTCTCCCCAGCCCATGCCAGGGAAGCCCTTTTTGATGGATAATAACAACCTTTTAACACTTTAAGAAAGTGAGTTAATGAAGAGGAAAAAAAGAAGAGGTTAGCACAGTCATGTTTCACTGCAGGATGATAGCGTCAGACCACAGGAAGTAGTCTCTGGTGGTTTGCTGATCTCTGTGGTCTGACTGAACTGAAATTATTAGAACAGTAACTTCACTGCTGGCAGGATTATCACATGTCTTTCTCCTCACTTGTAACTTTAAGGGCCTGATCCTGAAGAGTCTGAAACAGATCTGACCCTACTATCAATGAAGTCAATAGTGAAATTTCCATTTACTCAGCAATGAAGAATCAGGTCTGCACACAAAGGGAGTGTGGAGTTACCAACTGAACCGCAATGAGAGTGCCACGTGCTTGCAGTGACAGGATCAAAGTTTTAGGTCTCAGGATGTAGGATCTAGGATACAGGCTGGCATGGATGTGGAAGAGGTTACCTGGTGCTACTGAGCCAACCAGGATATCAGATTTTAGAAACCTAACATCTACCACACTGTTCAAATACTAAAAAGCAAACTACATTGATAATCCCTTGCCTTACAATGGCACCTTCTGATGGTGACTCAATGTACTTTACAAAGGAGTTCATTAATCCATTCTGCAGATAGTCAACCAAAGCCACATGAAAGAGGTACAAAGATCAGAGTCAGCAGACAGGGCACACTGACATAGTCAATGAAGGAAGAAGACAACTTGAAGAGTAAATTACACATGTTTTCAAAATTCAACCAGCAGCTCCCAATTATTTAAGGCAGTGTTTTCTTAGCAAGGATTAGAAATGATATTTCAAATCCATCATTTTAGCATGATGATACCTTTTTAAATGACGGGTTTCTGTTGCTGCTCCTGTTACTCTGCCTGTACCAAAAGATAACTTTCAAGTATTTTGTCTATCATTTTTAAAGAGAGAAAAAAAAATAACAAGCCTGAAAGAACAAAGACAACACTTCAAAGCCTTCAGCGGAGAAGGAAGTGCTTTCTAGCAAAAATCATACACTCTTGTCAATGAAACCTTTGTCAGACAGTTCCTCTCCTGCCTTGGCTGCTGTATGGTTAAAGATATAAAAGCAAGTGAAGACAGAAGAGAAAGAGAATCCCTGAGAGAATGAAAAAAGTCATGTCCCAGCAAAGTCCTCTCTTTGCCCTCAGAGTTTATCTGACATACTGTTATTGATAGCTCCAACTCCCCTGGCTGAGGGAGCACATATACCTTTGACTGCACTGAAGTTGATTTAAACCACACTGGCAATTTGTGAGGCAGTTTTTCACTTACATAAGGAAGTTCTTGAGAGGATTCTGAAGCAATACAGCAAGGTAGTTAAAACTGAGGCCATTTTAAAAAGAACTGCATTTCCTCAGGCTGTCCATAACTCTTTATTTTCCTGAAAATACCAGGGAACTCTGCAGCTTTGCTAGGAAGAAGCCAGCTAAATGCAACAGCCTTTGGATCACTCCAAAGCATCAATGCAAGTTCATTCCCTTCTGACCCTCACATTCTCAAGTCTTAACTCAGCCAACTCTTCCCAGCCATCTGGAGTGCCATGTGGAGTTTTCTGGGAAACCACTTGCAATTTGTTTCAGCACTAAAATGATTTTGGGACTTCCATTCTACTTTATAACATGTTTTGGGTGAAGTCCTTCTGTGCAGTTGTCTTGTACCACTTGCTATACAACAAGTGTTCACAGTTCTCTTTAGTGCCCCTTTTCTGCCCCCCTCTGAGTAACACATGAAGAACCAATTACTCATGTTGGCAATGGTCCCTCTCGCCTGCAGTACTGCAGCAACATGTTACTTAAGATTTGGTTGGCTTTAACATTATTCAGTTGGGTTTCTTCTGATAGCTATTACACTTAACAAGTTTCCCTCAATAACAAGTCGCTTTTGACCTCAACACACCTGGAGACTTCACCCTTCTATTCCACCTCTGACCTCTCCCAACAGAGTTGACATTTTGCAATTATCAGCAATTTGTTAGCTTTATTTTTGTTAGCACCCAATTATGCAAATAATAGACCTGTAACAGAACTGCTCCTATTGGGCTGCAAGTTTGTATAGAGGTGTTTCATGCATGACTGACTGTGATAGCCTGGCTCCAACATGTAAGAGCAGGAAATGAGAAGTCAGAGAACACTTATCCCATGCAATCGCTGGCTATATACCCTTAGCATTTCTCTAGTAACAAGGGAGATCCAAGATCTGGGATATTGTCAAACGCCAACAAAGAAAACACATTTCCCAAAACCAAAGAGAATGAACTTGATCTGGAGCAGGCTCACTATGTGAAAGGAGAAATCCCAAATTACTTGTAATGTAGACAACAAGGAGTCACAAGGAATAGAGCAGAACTGTACTCCAGTCATGTCTACATTTGGCTTTTGTGCTCAAATATACCATTTTGTCTTTTCTTTATAGGCTTTTTGCAGCTTACTATACTGAAAATAGAACAGCTGATGCATCACATCCGGCCCGCTATATATCAACAACAGGGTTTTTAACACACAGCTTTTCACATGCACCAAAGATGTATAAAACAAAACCTGAAAAGAAGGGCATGCTGGGCCCCATTTCCCTACCTTTCTCTCCTCACAGCAGCACTCAGCTCTATTTGACGTGTCAAGTTCACCATCCTCCTGACAGCAAACAAGTCCTTTCCCAGTCTTGTGACCTCATCCACTTCCCTGTCAAAAGATTAAGGCACATTTTCAAATGCTTAAGGCTATTTTTAGACTGTACTAAAGACATGTGGGGAGGAAAGCAGCTCGTGTACTTTCTTCATAATGTAATAATCTCTGTGTCTAGGAAAACCGCTCAGATTTGAATGTCACTTCACATAATTACCTTGGGTAAAGCTGGATCAGCCGCATCAGTCGGACGGCGTTGTCCAAGTCGCCTCCCTCCGGAAAGGGGCTGCAGTGACTCTTGTGGCTGAGAATGCACAGCCACAGGATGCAGGACGTGGGCTCTTATCTTTGCCATTGGGAGATGTTCTTTCAAGTGTCCTGAAAACAGAAACAAAAGCAGTGGAATCAGAAAACAGATGCAAATGCTGTGCTCAGATCTGATGAGACCAAGAGCTCTGTGCTGCGGCTGAGACCTTGGACCCAGCTCTGAGCAGCGAGGTCCTGTGTGTGCTTGAATCCATTTCTACATGGTGAGGTGCATGCTGAAGGGCAAGCTGAGGCACAGCTCCAGTGGAAACAAAGCTCTATACACCTTCCACTAACACAGTTATACTCCTTGCTGCTATACAGCTAACTGAGCCCATTTCCACCAGCATGGACAATTCTTCACCGTGTCTCACTGCAACAGTTGCTGGAATAAGATAGTCCCTGAAGCCACTCTGGGGTATATTCACGGAGGACAAAGTTCAATAGACATAAAAGCAACAGAGTGCCAATGATGATAAGCAGTTCTCTTACAGCATTTTAACACCACTGTTTTCATATTTGGATAGTGGAGAGGAAAGATAAAGCCATACAAAGATTCAGGACCCAATTTCTGGAAGCTGTGGGTATAAAAGGCATGCACAAATGTACATGCACACAATTGCTCCGTGCCTTGTCTGCATCCTGTGCATAAGCAGCTCTCACAGATGCTCACTCAGAGCAGTTATTTTTGCCCACAAGATGGCCAGGCTCCTCAATGTCACTTTGTGAACGAGTCTTTGAGAAACAGGGTCTTAAGCAGGTGAGTCTTTAAATATGGTGTCCTATGACATGAGGGACGCAGGCATAGGAGCAGCATGAATGAGGTTTACATCCCCATCTAACTGCTGCTCCTCATCTGCACAATGGTAAATTTGGTTCCTCCTCTCCAGGAAAGCATTAAGAACTTGTATGTTGATCAGGTTGCATCTCAACAGTAGCAACCAAGCAATGAGGGGAAGATAATTAAAGCTAAGCAAAACCCCAGACAAAACACATCACAGACATCAAACTAACACAATAAAGACATCCCTTTTTTCTCCTCCCCTCCTACAGAAGGAAGCATTACAGTATTCAAACCCCAAGTCAGAGAAGGCAATTCAAGACAGCTCCTCCCAGGATCCCCCTCATGATCTACCCACTTAGCCAAACACTGAATTTGCTTCCAGCCAGGCCTGGCAACTCTCCACCCATGAATATGTACATTTGGATGCATAGCGGTTCTAGCATGTCACGCTCATGGGCATTTGGCCCATGTAACACTCTGCTTCCCAATCTATAAGTACATGAAATATAAGACTAAGTAAAATCTGAGACACTGTGGAAACTGATGAGGGCTTGACTGAGCTCCTGGAATAAAACTTGAGTCCCTCCCCATCCAGAGCTGTATTTTTAGGAAGTCGATTGAGAAATGTTTTCCTTGCTCCATTTCCATGTTTACTGGGATACAACATTGTTACACTCGATTGCATCAGAAAACATGGAAACAGCTCTACAAATTGATCCGACCACAAGATCCCAGAGGAATTTGCTCCTTGTCTCCAAGGAGTTTCCCCAGCATAAACAATGTCAAATACAAGGCAGCCCTGAGAGAGTTAGTGTTTCTCCAATAAGCTTCAGAAACACTAGAATATAGATCAATCTGTTCAGTAACTCTGGATGGATTTCATGATGGCATTATTCATAAGACATTGGATACAGCCATTCATAAAACTACAGAACACATTACACATCAAAGTGAAACCTGCTGTATTTTAGCAGGAGATCATGTAACTGAGATCATGATGGGAGCAAAAGCAGGGTAACACACACGGTCCCCTCCCAGGGACTGAAATGTCCAAGCCACTTCAGGAGATGTAACTGTACTCTGGGTTAGTGTTTCCTAATGGTTATTGGGCACCTACATTCTTCTGCTGTTCAGAACTCAGATATTCATGCCAGAATACAACTCAAGGTACCTGATTAGCATGAGAATGGGAAACACAGGACACTAAAAATATTTAGTTTGAAATGGGGATCTCTTCAATATTTGAAAGTATAAAAACGTACACGCATTGATTTCCACACATCTGAGTGGCCTTTCCATGTAATCAATTAGAAACCAACTGAGTTCCATGGGAAAATGGTCTCATCTTAGACAAAAGATCATTGTTGCCATATAGGTAAACTAATTTCTCCCTGGCCAAGCATATCCTCTAACTCCCATCCCACCTCTCTGGTTCTTATCCTGTCCTCCCGGTTAGCCACAATTCCTTGGTACAAAAGGGGGCTGAAAATGGAATTCCCTTCCAGAAGAAAGCCACCTTCACTACAAAATAATGATGGGAATCATCCTGACAGGGGCACAAAACAAGCAGTCAAATGGCAACAACCAACCTAATGTAAATGAATTTGCATGGAGAGATTTTCAAGCCCTCTGAAGTCCTTTTTGTATGAAATGTTCAAGATTGATTTGATCTCATTTTTTTCCTCAATAAAGAGTAAAAACGGCATCATGAGGCTTCAAAGTGGGCAGCCAGGAGCTGTCGTGTCCATTTCCCCACTGCTAAACTGAAGCTTTTTGGCAAAACTGTAGTATTCTGCAGGACAAGTTCTGATTTTGCAAAGGCCATTTTCTATCAGAAAATGATTGTGATGGAAAATTGCCCAGCAGACCTATTAAATGTGTGTGGTAACATTAAATAAGCAGTCTTTCAGGTAGGCTTGCTGTAAGGCTGCTATTGCCATTACAGGGAACAAGCAGCCTTCCCCATCATGCCCAAGTGAACCTGAGAATCAAGAGGCTTAGTAACAGCAATTCACTACCTAATGTAAAGGAAATATGGTGCTCATTGTGAAGTCCACTAGGTTTAAAACTCTGTGGAAATAAAAAAGGTGATTCCTTCAAAACTAGGATGGACCCCACTGTAAAACACAGGTTGACGGCATCTGTTTGATAGTGCTTTGTGCCCCAGGACCTGAAATACTCAATTCATAAACTCCTTGTAACTCAGCGTTCTTATCAGCATCCTCCCCACTTCAAGGCTAAGGAAACTGAGGCAGTGATTGAGAGCTGGGGTAAAGCTACAGTGATTCAGTCCCAACACCCCGAACAGAATCCTGCCCCCTGGCCCTCTGCCCTCCCCTCAGACCCAGACCACACTCTGTGGGTAGGAAGAGCTGCTCCAAGGAGCAGGAAGCACTTGGTTCATCATGTGGCAGCCAAGCCATTCCCAGAGCTTCCCCATGAGAATGATGCCTGAGCAGGCACAGCCCCTGGCAGCAGTGTTTGATTGTTCCTAGAGGCTGGCACACAGGGAGAACTAGAGAATATAACACATATATAAAAAGAATGTGTTCACTCCTCCACCCTGTACGTGGCAGACGGTCCGTATAGACACTGAGATTAACTCCTGCACCTGAATTAGAACAAAGTGTTTTGCTATTCTCTTTCTCCTCTTTCCTCCTCCCCCAGCTCCTCTCCACCCCTTTTGCTGTCCTCATTTTAATCTACAAACCAGTAATGGGTCTGCAGGCAGCCTGCCAGGGTACAGCTCGCCTTCACCTGGCAAATGCTGGGATCCTTCTCCTGGCTCCAATTAAAAACCAAGATGAAAAGGAGGAGCCAGGAGGTCATTCTGAGCCAAGGCATCCGCCCAGCATGTCCAGACTTTATAGGAACTGAATTTATGGGAACTAAAGACTTCCATCACTCACTTTCTCTTTCTCTTGCTCCAGAAGATGTTTTAATTACCCTTGGTATCAGTTTTAAAAGGCTGAAATGATGAATATTGATGGTATTAGGTATTTTTTGCTTAATAAAATGGAAATTGCATGGGAAAATACACTGAGGCCAAGCGCATTTTAATGCATTAACAATTTTTACTTCTGGCCTAACAGCTGAGTGGGAAGTGTTAAGAGGGACTCCAGAACACAGAGTCCCTGGGGTTCTCAAACAGAGCAGTGAAACATCCATCAGTTCATTCTTGCTCATTGTCCTTCCCCCCAGTAAACCCGTTGTATTTTAACAGTCCACTTTGCAGGTTTCATTGAGGAACCTGGTAGCTGCTACTTACATCCTAAGTAATTCTTCAAATCCAACATAAATCCACCAGCAAGCACTCACAGCAGCTGATGTGTGAGGAATACGTATGTGCAGCTACAATTCCACTCCTACCCTACAGCCAGCCACACTATCAGCACTGCCCACCAGCCACAGGCACTTTTCTGCCCCACACCAATCCCCAAACTATGCTTTCAGTGTTCTTCCAGGGTGAAGGATGGAAGAACAGAGCCTTGAACACATCTCAGTGACCTCGAGTGCCCTATTTACTCATGCAGGTTAGGTGAAGTCCTGACAAACTTCATTTTACATTTCAATAAAGGTAAGATGGGAATTCATCTCACTGACTGACATGGGAACAGCTATAAAAGCAGTACGAATAAAGTGCACTTCTTCAAATTGCAAACTCCTTGGGGCAGGGAAACATGCCAAATTCTGCCACTGCTGAATGACTTTGATCACTTGGCAGGGATGTGAATGGGGGCAACCTAGATCTTCTATCTACCACATGCTATTGCAGACCAGGCTGAGGTACCTTACTACCATCTTGATTTGAGCCGTGGGTACTCATATCTAGCAGTAGAATACCAGTGCATGAATTAATGATTAATGATGATAGGGCTCTTGGAAACAAGTTTTTAGCCAAGCATCACACTTGCAAATGACTCACTGGAAGTCAGTAAACACTGGTCATTAGCCAGCAGTTACAATGCAAAGGAAGCAGCAACTGACTTCAGTGGATTGCTCCCTCTACCCAGGGGGAATTAGAGATACCCATTGGAATGCAATTACAAAACCAAGGCTGCGGATGGGATCAGCTCACATTGTATCAAAGCTACTGTTGAGCAATACAAGGCATTACTCTGGCACCCAGTTGCTCAGTGCAGATCTCTCAGGTTCTTCATTGTATTGGAGACCAGAAAGTAAAGAGGAAGTTGCATATGGCACCATGTCCAGGGCCTGAGTGCTGAGAAAACAATCATCAGGAATCACATTTGAGGAGATAAAGAAGGATAAGTTCACAAGATTTCTGTCCTCCCTCTTGTCACAGCTTTTTCTTGGAGCTGTTTGCTGTGGAGACATGCATTTGAGAGCGCATCTTATTGCTACAAACGCTCCCTTCCAACACAGAACCACTCTTCAGCAATACAGAAACATTTGCACATTTCCTATGCCCAAAGCTACATCATCAGACTTCATTCCCTCCTGAAGAATTACTGACAGAAAAATCATACATGCACTGTAACTTCATTTGTTGGCTGAACACTACAGATTTCAGTTGCAAGTGAAAGCTGTCCTCTTGTGCATCACTATGGCTCTGAGTGCCTATGAACTGATTTTAGAATTCAATTCAAAATCTAGGGACATTCTGATTCGAGTGCCCTCTCAGTGGGGTTGCTGCCTGTCACATTAACAGTGAAGAAGCAACGTCACCCACATCCTAAGATTCTCTGTGTTGCTTTTTGCACATCTCACACTGCACACACAATGTCACACCCTCCACACGGGGATGAGGGGAGGTAGGAAGATGTGGGGGGAGAGTAAGTGACTCACTGTGCGTCCAGACTGCCAGATTTGAGCAAAGAAGGTGTCAGACATCACCTAATAGTGGAAATGAGGAAACCTCGATAAGATAAGTGCAAAGGGACTTGGTAGCTATGAAGGTTGAAAAAGCCTGGAAGTCAAAACTTATGATAAAAGGACCCAAAGTTAAGCAAAACAAAGCAAAACTTGACAACACTAAGCAAACTAACAAAACAAGACAGAGCTACCACGTGACGCCCTGGAAATGCATTGCTCAGTTAATTCATGGAACCTTGCCCACTTCCTTTCCATACTGGTTTGAAGCGATTGTTCCTTATCTGGTTGGCAAATTAAGATTACTTTATCCATTTTGAAACAGAATCACAGAACAGGTGAAAAAACTGTTGGTTATTTAGAGCCTTCCCCAGTCACAGCCGTCACTGTGAGCCTCTGAGAGTGGAAGATAGGACCACAGGGGAGATGACTGTTGATGTCATGAAGAAAACCTGCCAATATAGGATGCCAAAACCAAGCTTCTGACCACTTGTGGTCATTCAAGATCCCAGGGCACATTTTGCAAGAGTATGGGTGTTAGCCCTGGTACACTGTCCAAATCCAAGCTTGGCTATTTATATTCAGCCTCCCTAAAATACTGCTTGGAGTTTCAACTGGAAAAGTTAATTTTGCTTTTCTGTCTGGAACTGCGTGATGATGCAGGTCCAACAGTGGCATGGGGAATGCCATCAGAACAGTGTCCCTGCGGCTGGCAAGTCCTGGGAAGAGTTCCCTTTGTCACCTTGCATCAGCACTTTAACACCCACAGACTGAAAAAGATGCTTTAAAAAATTAAGAAGTGACTGATTTTGAGACTGCTTTCAGGAAGCCCACAGGCATGAACCATCCTTAACAGCCCTAACTTCAGTTCTGCTTTTTAACTTGTTAGGTACCAGCGAGAGAGACCAGAGGTTCTTAAACTCTGCATTCCTGTATTCCCCTACTGCACGTGATGCTCATCTAGTCCCTATGGTCAGCAATCAGCACAAGCAATACAGTGGACATGTCTCAATCAATTTGCTTCCTCCTCATCACTCACCATTAATTTTGACCAGAAACAACCATCTGGTTGATGGCAGCAACCTTGACAGCGTTATGAACATTGTGCAAAATGAAAGGTTAACTCCAGTGCTCACCAATTTGGTCCAAGGAGCCCTACTGACCATAAGGCATGGCTCAGAGTGCAGGTAGATCCTGGGAAGCAGACTGCTAGCTTCTAGGATTTTCCACTAGTTTTAGCACAGCAAAGCAAGGCCTCAGCATTGTGTCTTTTCCCATCATTAAAGGTAAGTTTTTCAATGGTGCAGAATTTAATCCTGCATCATCAAAAGCACATTTATGGGAAAAATTTTATCTTCTTTACCTTTTGGAAACAATAAATAGGTAAAGTAGCTAAAAATTGAAGCTATTCAAATAACCAAAGGCTATGACTGAATACAGCCAAGCCAGCTTACTCTGAGACATGGTATAATTCCACTCAGATCTGGAAAAGAGATACAAGGAGAAACGTGTATCAGCCAAAGTTAATATTTGCACAAAAATGGTGAGTCATATAAACTGGGATTTCCTTTTCTAGCCACTTGCAGCGTATCGACTGAGTCAAATCGAATTTGATGCAATAACTTTCATCTGATACTGCAAAATGTTCAGCTCAGGTAAGACAGACTTTATTCCGGGCCTAAATTCTTCCTTTGTATCTAGCTTCTGAAATGAGTAAGAAATAACCTTGGCATTCAGGATTCCATCACATGCTATCACTCAACATGATGTACCCACTTCCTTCCTGATCCTCACTTATCCTCCAGAAAAGCAGTACAGAACCAATACTCTGGTTACTGGCCAATATGTTAAAAAAAGAAGCTTCAAAATCATCCTAACTAAAACTAGTTATTCTTCCCCCTCCCGTTCCCAAGATTATGAAACAAAACAGCTCTATTTATCCTTTTCTCTTTTTCGTGAGTCCCCTGCAACAAAGCAAGATGGTAAGACAAGGCAAAGGAGGAAAAACTATTATCTTAGGGAGTTCTCCTTCTTCACGTTCCACCATTAAAGTTCTCAGTTTAAAGTTCCCAAGTAAAAGCAGGGAACATCGCAGAGAAACCAACAGCCCAAATTTCTTCCTATTCCTTACAATGCACTTCAAGTTCTAAGCCATTTAACTTTCCTCCATTCTTAATTCTGTCAAGTCAGTCAACAGCTTTTTGCTGCCATAGAAGTGAAACATTAAGAGGATCCATCCAACTGTGGTGGAAGCTACCTGGAGATGTCAAAAATGTTTAAGCAGCAGTCAGGGAACCATCCAAGCCCAGGTGCAGTTCATCCTGACTCAGTGTGGGGAGCCCAACTACACCATCTATTTAGTTTCCTTCTGGCTCCAAACTTCTATGATTTTATTATCATTGCATGTGTTTTATTCAGACTCACCAGACCTCACTGAGCTTCCCCTGTTCCTCATGCAGTTAACAGTAAGCTTCAAAATAAAAAGGGCTTCTTATTCAGCCACATAGATAGAAGGGAATTATAAATAAACAAAAGAAAACAAGAAATCACTGCTGTAAGTGAAGAACATGTTTCAAATGAAACCAAAGCAGCTCCATTTCACTGAGGATGCTACTTGTAAGACAGCTGGATGAAACCAAAATAAGCTGAATCACTTTGTATTTTCTTCCTGATAGACTGGAAGACATGCTTCACCATGCTCAGCTGCTCTTCCTCTGCGAGGAAGCCAGGCCTCCATGGAGAGGTGCTGGGCACGGCTCACTTTTGCCTGCCACCACCTCCGAGTCACTCAGCAGAAGCCATGCCAAGCAGTAGTACTGCACGCTCCAGAAACAACACACACCAGTAATCCAGGAGGAAGCACTGCACGACAACACCCTGGTCTGGAAAATGTGATGGGTAACACGGTGACTGATGAGTGTCAGCAGTGAGCAAGAAAAGCAACAGGTAATGGCAGAGGGGAAACCATCCTCTGTATCTCTCTCCTCTGGGAGAAGATGAAATGTAAGAACTGGGGTTTCCAGATAATCCCTTGGTCACCTTCTCACACCTTGTGTAACGAAGGTGAAAGTAATAAAGCTGTGCCTGTTAGGACACTTGGCAAGAAACAGTCAACAGTGAACATAAGGAATGCAAATCTGGCCTTGGCTTTCAGAGTTGACTTCTGAAATCAAGGGTGCAAACATGAGCATCAACATAACATTAAATACTACAAGCTTGCTGTGAGACACTGAGGAAGAAGATTCATTTCTGTCTCTGCACACTGCCTTGCTCATCAGGAGTTTAGATTCTCCTGAGTAGGCACTATCCTCCAGAAGCACAGAGTATTTCAGTGCTCAGATTGCTGCTCTTGGCACTGTGCAAGCATATTTTGTATTTAATCACATCGATATGGAAAGAGCAGGATTTATGGAAAGCACCTAGGTAAGTTCCAGGCCTTGCTCCCATTAGCTTCCAGTGGTGACTCACAGCATGGTTTTATGAACTGTCTGGAAAAATCCCACTGGGATCTTATCTGCATCTTTAAGCACATTTTATAAATTTGACCTGCTGTTCCTGTACAGCCCTTGGAACAATGGGGTGATTCCTTTGGGGATTTCAGGAATGACAGTAATGCACCTAATAATGAAAGGATACCCTTGCCTATGGCACATTCAGTACTCAGACATCAACCTCCAATCCTTACTCCAATACATACCTATTTCTGATACTCTTTCTGTTTACATTCTTGCAGAACTCCACTGGGCTCTTACTATTTCATTAGCTGTCTAGACTGTGCTGCAGGTAAATACAGGTCACTTTCAAATGGGAATGAACACACAGGAGGAAAGAAACAAAAACAAACAGGCAGAGGAAAACACCCAAGATGCTGCTGACCTGACCTTCTAAAGCACTTGGTTAGGTACTTAAAGGCACGACACGCTTTGTTCCCTGTAAGAAAGAGCAGCTTGCTTCAAAGGACTGGTTAAGGACAGAGTCATTCAAAGAGTTCCATAAAACCAACCACAGCGCTCGGGAGCTCTCAGGTACGCACAGAGGCGGCAGCCGCTGCAACACCCACACAAAGCACTAGTTCTGCCGCCGGCTTCTCCATCAGGAATGGCGTCCCACCTCCGTCCTCGTGCTCCTGGCGGCCGCCATTACACGCCGGGAGGGAAAGCAAAACCGCTGATGTTGATTGGCTGACGCCGTGCGTCAGGAGCACTGGCCAATGGGAGACAGGAACGCTGTTGCTGCGGTAACAGGAGGAAAGCTGCGGCCTAGCCGTGCGGGTGCAGCCATGCCGCCGCTGCGGGGGAGGGCGATGGGGCCGTGCCTGGGTTGTAGCCCATCCCCTCCACAGGCGTTTAAATGTCTCTCTTTAATGAATTCAGTAGTTCACACACCAAAGAATCTGCGCGGGGGGTGGGGGGGGCGACGACACCTTCTGGTTTAATTCTGTAGAGAAACACAGCTGTAAATAACTAAATGTGTGTGTGTGCATATGTATATATGCATATAACGACAGCATCGTTTTAGTCCAGTGGGTCAACTTTGGCTTTAATAAATAAAATGCAATGAAGGGAGGGTGGTCAGCTTGTTTGGAAGAACAACACCGAACGGGTGCGACTCAGCTTTCCCTGGCTTTTTAACAGCTATGAACTGCTTGATATTTTTGGCTCGGCTCTATTATTATAATTTTTTAAGGTTTTTTTGTTTTTTTTTTTTTCCTTTTAAAAAATACGAGGCAGTAGGCTTCCTCCCAAGACACACTCAGGTGGGGCCGCTTCTGACTGCTGACTTTCCCCTGGGGCACCTCATTTGGGTTAAAAAAAGAAGAAAAAGGGGGGGGAAATAGGGGAAAAAAGGGGGGAAAAATAGGGAGAAATGGGGGGAGAAGTGCTTGCTGATACACTCAGGGAGGCTCAGGTCGCTCCCCTGGTTCCCTCCCTGGCCCTGCAGTCACTGCGGGCTATCTAACGTCATTACACGGGCTGGCGTCGTCCCTTAGGTTGGCTTGAAAAGGCTGCAGATGGAAGCACACTGACATTTATCACTTGCAAATGAGGGCCCTACCGTCATCTCCGAAGGAAGAGCTCCATTCCCTAAACCTTATTCCAGGGCACTTTCCTGCTTGCTTTAGATGGGGAGCCTCAGTTGGAAACGGACTGAGTGTGCTGGGGTTTATTGCTGCAGGAGCTGCGTGACTCCCTCTTGAGCCCCAGAGATCTCAGCGGGGTTGCTCTGTTTGCACGTCGCCTGGAGCGAGCAGGATTTGACCATTGCTCTCCCATGTCACCACTGGGAATCCTTTTCCCGACATTAGGCCCTTACACATAAGTTTTGGTGTGTGATTTGTTCCACATAAAAGCTGCGTTGGGGCAGGCTGTCAGCTTTTAGCTTGCTTTGACTCAGACTGAACTTGGACTCCACGGCAAGTTTGGCCCGAATCAAAGTGATAAACCCAGTTGAGACCAGTGCATCATCTGGGAATGGGTTTGGTTTCTGCTGCAGCTGGTACTGCTTCGTTGAGAGCTAGTGCCGGCTGCATAGTAGAACATAATAGATCAAGATCATTTAATCTGTGTTATAGAAAATATGTTATTATCCCTTTTCAAAGCATTGTTTTCTAATTTGTTTTCTCCTTTTTCATTCCATGAAGTTTCTGCAGAGATGGAAGTGAAAAGGGAACAAGCAGCATTGCAAGGGAGTATATATTGGAGTGCACGTCTGAATACAATCAGAATTGGGCAATTCAGGAAGAGTCACCGGATGTAGAAGAATCCATTATTCCCGATCAGAAACTCAAGTGGAAATTGAAAATGCCAATTAAAAAAGAAAGAAGGAGAAAGAAAGATTTTTTTTTTTGTCAGTTCTCAATACTTTCACAGAAAGTATTCCCAAGGGATTTCTGATCCAACAGAAATCAAGGATTGAGACTTTGAACCCTGATGTGCTTGGATTATTCTGCCATGCGGTTTGACCTAAGTTAACTCACTGATAGAGGGGTTTAAAGAAGCAACAAATGTGGAGATGCCCTAAGTCAGAACGGCTGACTGCAATAAAATGAAACAGAATATGTGGGACAGCAGTGACAGTCATAGCTTCTGTTGTGTGGGTTTATTTTTCGTGGAAGCCACTGCACTGCAGACATTTCTACTTATTAATTGAAATAAAAACAGAGCTAAAATTGTACCTAGGCTTCTGTCTCTATAGGCACTATGGGGTACAGTGTTACTTATCAATGGTTTTAGCTCCAGCCAAGTTTAGCTTCTTCTGAAGTATTAATGGCTAAATCGGAAAGCCAGCCTGGCCTGCATTTCACCCAGTTTGACCATTGGTTGCTTTAACACAAAATATCAGAAACATTATGGTCATATGAACAGGATGTATTTTGGCAGTTCTGTTTGTCCAGGGCACATCCCTAAAATTCTGCAGCCAGACGCAATGTTCTCGGTTGCTAATCTCATGAGCACCTTTCCCGTTGAGTCCTCTGTGGTTACGTGAAGCACTTTTCCTCTAGGAAAGGTCTGCTTAAGAGAATAGACTTTCCCTGCAAGATCTGTGCAATAAGTCTAAGGGATCACTTGAGCTTACAGCTGTTGCAGCTGCCCTCCTGGTGTACCTTCCTTATATGCTCAATAGCAGACAGGTATGAGGCCAGGAATCAGTTTTTTTCACCAGGTTAGTTTGAGAAGCTGCCTTCAGGGCTGGATATTGTTTCACTGAGGACTTTTTGGTATTCTTCTGTGCTGTGGGAAGTGATTCATTTCTAAAGATCATAGAATCATAGAATAGTTAGGGTTGGAAAGGACCTTAAGATCATCAAGTTCCAACCCCCCCGCCATAGCCAGGGACACCTCGCACTAAAAAAAGATGATGTAAACCTTTTCCTGTTACAAACTTCCTATTTTTGCAGAAGCTCAAAACGTTGGTTATTGCTTTCATCCTCCCTCAACCTCTTAATTCAACACATTAATATCTTGAAGGCCTTTGGTCTTTTATACCGAAAGTCTTACATTTGTTACTAGGTACTGGGATGTATATGGCATGTGAGTGATAGAATAAAAGAGAAAATGTATATGATTTGTGGTATCTTTCTGGACTGAGCATTAATAGCTGGTTTGTTTGGGGAGAGAGAGGAGAGAGGAGAAGAGAAAGCACCAGCAGCTTCATTCATGGGGGGATGCAGGCACTGCCAAGTATCATTATGAAAATTCTTCCTTTTCGTATGATATTAAACTCTGCTCTTGGCAGGTCCCCTGTTGCAGTCAGTGTTTTTAGTGAAAATACATGAGGTCCTGAATTCTCAGTTCATTTCTCATTATATTACTCTGTTAATAGTCCTGGGAAATACACAAAAACCCCAAAGCTGTGTCTGTGCTCCTGCAAGGATCCCTGACTCGATGTTTAGGGTGGCTCTTGGCAATGGGTCTACTGGAGAAAAGGGAAAAACAAGTTTTAAAAGGAATGAAGGATCAGGTCTTGATTTTTCTGCATTTAATTAGGCATCGAAATCAAGGCCAGGAGTTGGACCTCATCTTCCTAAACATGTCTGCATGAAACCACCTCTTTTTCAAGGGTTGAGGTTTGAGTCCTTACTGAAGGGGCTTAATTTTCAGCTCTGAATTTGATTCAGTTCCTCCCCAAATTCAAGATTTTACTCACTTCTTGTAGTCAGCAAAGAGAAGGTTGACATGGCTTAAGTGTGGAGTTACTGCTCATTAGGCTGGACCACAATAAGTGAGAAAGTAGGTGTTTCTGGTCTGCCACAGATATAAATTAAAGTGATGTGAAAGAAGGCATGGAAGTGTAACAGACCTCCAGTACCCTCCAAAGAGGGGCGAACAAAACGAATGTGAAGGTGTTTCACATACGCATGCTTTACCTTGTGGTGCACTGGCCCAGGAGCAGGCTCACAGTCAGCTATTGTGTCTGAAGTCACCGATGAAAACCCTGCAACTGCAATAGATTTATTGCTTGTGATCATGAGCAGAGCTGCAAGAGACTGGATGGTGATTTATTGTGCTGTAGCTATAAATTTTCTTCCTATCTCCTGGCCTGGGTCTATTTCATCTAAAAAGCAATATTTGATTCATAATTATTTTTTGCAAAAAGCCAGTTGGTCATAACTTTACTGCATCAGCCAAAGAAGTAGAAAAATCATGTAAACCTCATGTTGAATATCATATTGATTGCAAGTGAACAGTCTGTAAGACCTTTTGACCAGAAATTCTTAGCCCATTATTTCAATTGACAAATAACAATTGAAACATAATCGTGGCCAATTCCCAGAAAGACAGAGAATGAAATTTCATTCGATCAATAATGTGCCAGACAGTATGTGCCCCGTTTTCAAACAGCCATGTCCTTGGAGTCCGGATGCCTCTGGTCATGTAGACCATGATGTATTATGATTGGAGGGCCTGATTTATAGTCCAATGGCACACACATATCCAAATGAGAATGAAGCCTCTGTTGAGTGGAGCACTGCTGGTGGACTGTAAAGATCATATTGTAAATGCATCAGACAGGTAAAGGTTGAGAGGCTTGCCTGTTGCACAGAAGTGTGAACAATGAAGAAAGGAAGCAAAATAGTTTGCTTGGTGTTGGGCAAGAAGTACATGGCACAGATGGAAAATGATCCATGACGTTATGCGTCCAGGCCCCACCTCTTCATCACTACTCTGTCTTCTCAAACCACTACTGAATGTGAAGGTTGTTTTCAGATTCTGTTGTCCAGCTGTGTCCTAATACTCCTAGGCTTTGGGCATCCCCATGCATACAAATAAGAGAGCTGTACTTGCACAGAACTGCACTGAGGCGCATGTTGCCTTGATCCTGTCTCCTACAGAATAGTGATAGTTGAGCATCTGTCCCAGTT